ATTAACAAAAAAAAATACAGAAGGAGGCAGGGACTGCATTTCAACTCTTTATCCATCACGTTGCCGAGGCTGACACGTCTCTGTCCCTAAGTTGGTGGACCCTTCTAAGAAGATTCTGATTGGTACAAATTTCAAAGAGGCAGATTTTGTGCCAAGTTGTATCGTGTTGTCTTTTTGACAATGAAAACGAGCTTCCATTTTCTAGGATTTTAAAGGAGAGACAAGGCTTTCATCTTCAAATAAGCTGCAGTTATTGGATTCTGCAAAATGCTCCCCATTTTCTGGTATCCTGGCTCAAGATATAAAGCAGAAACAAGAGAAGCTGTAACAAGTCAGTTTTCCACAGGAAATGGCCAGACAAACACAATAGCCAGATCACATGAAATACCTACAAGCAAGCCTTTCTCATACAGAGAATGCTCACCCTCAAGATAAAAGAACAAAAGGCAAGGAGAAGCAAATTAAATTACATTATTAAATTAAAAAGCTTGTACAAACAGTCAGCAAATTTGCAATGAAATCACACTTCCCCTGATGTAAATCCCTTGGTATTCTGGGTGGCCCATGCTCAGTCAAGTCTTTGGCAGATTATAGTGATAATGATAACTACATGACATCATCATTATAGCATGATAACATTATGAAAATGTCTGTTTCGGTACTTCGAGGGGGACATATAAGCTTTCACATTTACTGTAATTCCTAACTACATGGTTAGGAAGAAAGAGGGAGATTCACAAGTATTATGTCTGAAAAATTGAACTTTTTCCCTGCATTCATTTTTCATGTTATTTTCTTGCCATACACAGGTAGTCCTCAGAATAGGGCGGCAATTGGATCAGGATTGCCATTGCTAAGTGATGTGGTTGTAAAACACAATGTCATATGACTGCTTTGCTTAGTGATGATAATCCAGGCAGTCTCAGTTGCCATCATAATCCCAAGATATGTGGATTGTTAAAGAGGAAGTGCTCAGAATCCCAGGTAAGGCATGTAGGAATACCCCAAAGGGATATAAGAGGTCCTGTGAAACCTGGCAGAGGCCACGAGTTAGGAGAGGGGATGCTCCAGTGTGCAATGAATTCAGGGAGACCAAGGAGAGGAGAGTGTGGGTCAGTGTTAGCGTGTACAAGTGCAAGAAGGCTGAGGGAAGGAGGGTGCAGTGCAGCGCAAGCATGTATGAGTGCAGAGAAACCAATGGAAGAAAGGCACGCGCAGTGCGAACATGTATAAGTGCAGGGAAGCAAGGAGTGTGGACCATGGTGTGAGCACATTTGAGTGCGGGGAAGCTAAGGGAAGGAGAGCATGGCATGGTGCAAGCAGGCACAAAGGCAGGGCACCCAAGAGAAGGAGGATGTGGCAATGCAAGCACATTTGAGCTCAGGGAAGCCGAGGGGAAGGGGACATGGTAGTGCAAGTGGGTGCAAACATGGGGAGGTTGAGGGAAGGAGGCAGTGGTGGGTTTCAAAAAATTTTGGAACCTACTCTGTGGGTGTGGCCTCC